CACTAAATAATGTATGACTGTGTGTCTTTGATAATAGGGTTTGCATTAGAAGTAATATGCTTCCCTTCATTCCACAGGGCAGATTCTTGCCTGGGCTAGTTATTGTGCAAAAATTGATTTCCCTAAAACCCCGTGTGCCAGAAAACATTAGTCAGCATTGTCTGGGAGCCAATGCTGTACATAAGAAAAGGGCCCCACGTGTTGCCGTTGGAAGGTGAGGGATATTTTTTAATCTCACATATGCAGCCTTGGTAAATCTGATTATTCCCATAATGAAGAGAAATTGCTGAACAAAGAGATCAATAAGATTTAAAGTACACAACCATCTGCAATGATGAGAAATCTACATTCTGAAGTTGAAGCAGGACCTCTGTTGAATGGGGTTTATAGCATCCAAATGAGATTTCCTGGTACTAAGTGGCAAGAACATGAACCTTTAACAATTAGTATTTAAGATATCCCCTGCTCACTGAAGCTTGAAGGCAAAGTGTGATTCACATATAATTCACTAAAGCGTGTGTAATTTCAGTGAGTGCTGAAAGAATTGCTTTAATGAATGTTCAAACAAAGCAGGGAATTAATATGATATGCGTGCATCCAAACTTGTAGTCTCAATGCTAAATAAAAGTGTCCTCTGGTAGAGGGTATAATTGTGGCAATACACTGAGGTTAATATGCAAGCTCCTAATCAGCACTGGTGTATTAATGTGGAAATATCTTTAATTGCAGGTAAAAAGAAATACTTTCACTAAACCAAAGTTTTATATTGCGTCTCATGGGTGAACGTCTGTTTTTCCTTTTCTGACATTCAGCAAAAAATATTTTAAATACTTTAAAGTGAACAGAGACCCAGGGAAATGGTTGGATTTCAAGTTGACATTTGTAGGTTTCATGATATTTTTAGATGCTCTGATACAAACAACAACATGGCAAAGCATTGATCATTGTATTTGTCACAGACATAGAGGAGTGGGAGCGAAGAGACTGACAGAAACAGATTCCTGTCAAAACTTGGCTTCATAATATGTCACGCTCAAATTCACAATTACAAACGCATTGACATAAAACTGGTTCATTTTCCCCATTTATTATTTCAAAGCTGAGATTAATCACATGGAGGGAAATAATGACTAAACCTAATCACAGACTTCTGCTTCTTGCTCAGCAATAATTACAGTCAGACTGGCTGCCCAGCTATATGATTTATGACAGAACATGATGGATATTAATGGATTTTGTAATTGCTGCATATGTTTATGAAAATGGCTGTCTGGTTCCGACAATATGAAAAGATGTCAGGTAAAGTAAGACCTGTCCAAAGACTGACCAGCTAAGGACAGCACAGAGACTGTTGTTTTACTTCCATAAGATCAAGTTACACATATCCAGTAAACATGTTGTCACAATTCAAATATGGTGGACAAGTTGGTTTTATTGCAAACAGAGTTGCAAAAGAACACAACATTTGCATAAATTCCCCATTCTGACTCCATGAATTTGCACTTTCAATTGCATTTTCAGGCAGGAAAAAATATGTAAAACAAACAAACAAATGAAAAAATGGTTGGTAGTACATCTCTTTGGGTTGGCTGCCAAAATAAAGTCTATACTGGGAAAAACGGACTAAGTCACACGTTCTAATTTATGTCTATCCTGTTCTGCTCTTATTAGTGTTGTTCCCCAGAGCTTGAGGCATTATTCTGTAATGTCCTGCAGGCATATGAAAGCAACATAATGCTAGTCATCTCAGCATTAAGTAACTTAATAAAACCTGCCCATGTGCTGGGATCAACCATAGACTGTATACAAGAAGTGGATATAGCCTTTCAGGGCTGAACAGTGAAGTTAATGTAGAAGTGCATTGAAGCTCGGGATGTCGGTGGCTTAGTGGTAGAGCACGCGCCCCATGTACAAGGCTGCTGCTGCAGCGGCCTGGGTTCGAATCCAGCCTGTGGCCCTTTACTGCATGTCATCCCCTCTCTCTCTCCCCCCCCCTTCACGCTTACCTGTCCTGTCCATTAAAGGCAAAATGGCCCAAAAAATATCTTAAAAAAAAAAAAGGAAGTGCATTGAACCTGTATTCTTTCTGATGGCCAGCAGGGGGCGACTCCACTGGTTGCAAAAAGAAGCATAATTGTAAGGAAGTCTCTTGCCCTTTATAGACAGAGATTCCAGCATACTGCCGTCAAAAAGATCTGCCATTACACCAGCTTTGCTTTTTTACATGAAGCCAAACAAGTGTGTGATATTAGTTTTCATGCCAGCCCAGCGTTCCGGTAGTATAGAGGGGGTGACATGTAACACAGCAGCATGGACGTCTGATGTGTCTGTGCGCGTGATGTCCTGCCATGCAAGCTGTCCCTTTTACACTGATGTGAATTTGGCTGTGTGCATACCTCCAGTGCTGGGTTAGCGGTGTAGCAACATTGCCCCCTCCATGCCATGTCTGTACTTTTTATACAGAACAGTGAAGTGGAATAATGTTGCAACAGTCCCACCATGAACAGGTTGTGTAAAAGGGGCTGATGAAAAAATGACATTACTTATCACTTGACTTACTACCTGAGTAAACATTTTCCTAATGAGTTTATGGTCTCAATTGCTAGCTTTAAATCCTCTTTATGTCTTGGTGAGTAAAAACAGATGATAAAGCAGGGTATGCTTTAGGGTGTGGCTACCTTGTGATTGACAAGTGGCTACCACAGCGACCTGTAAATCGGGATAAAGACTTAGCAATGCATATGTTTGGCACTATGTACATGTAAATAACCGTGAACTTGTTTGTGGGTGTTGTTTGTGTTTTTGTCCTTTCATGTTTTCAGTTTATGAAAGTTAATTGGTACATTTTGGTTGCCTAAAAATTTCTTGTTCAGTGTTCAGTTGTACTACACTTGAAGGAATCAGATTTGTTTTAAGCCTGTTTTTCGGTAGCCGAAATTACACATTGCAAATTCACAGTTACTGTGAATTATGGATGCACCTTACTAATCAAGCTAGCTGTCCAGCACAAGCATTTGTTGATAACTTAGGGTTTAACGTTTTGTTAGTAGGGACTTTGCATGGTGTACCCTACAGCCAGGTGTAGTTATCTTGCCAGTACAGGTGGGCTTGTATCGTGTCCTCTGACTCTCTCTCTCTCTCCTCACCCTTTTGTCAATATATGGTCACTTCTGGCTTCAGAAAACCAAGATGGTGACAATCAAAGTTGAGGTTTCAAAACGAGAGTCCAATGGGTGATGTCACAAAGGCTACATCCACTCCTTTTATACAGTTTATGGAATGTGATGGTTTGTGATGGATGCAGCTCCAAAAGGGATCGTGAGCCACGTTTAGAAACAACAGCAACTCTTGGCTGGAAAGAAGGAAAATTAATAGCAGTAGAACTTATCAGCTGCTACAAAAATTAAAAGTATTTTAGCTTGCAGCTGTTTTTTTCCACATTTACTTTTCAAGCTAAAATTGTTTTTCCAGTTTGACACTCAACAGGTGGAGCAGCGATCCCTGAGGAGAACCTGAATGATGCCTTAAAACAATGTTGCCATGCCCCTAACCACTCAAATAGCAATATTAATCATGCTGTAGTCCAGTTATTGATGGGCTGTCCTGGCTTGTGGCACACATTTTGTAATCAAATTCAGTGCCCTTTTGTGAAATTTAGTAATGTTGGTCTACTTTCAAACCAGTTATGAACTCCCTGGCCTGCTATCTGCTGAGTGCAACACTTGAAACTACTGCAATTTACAGACATAACACTAACTGTGATAGTGAGAGAGAGTGATAGATGGTTAATGAGTCATAGAGGGTGAGTGTCTTTGAGTGAGTGGAGTTTTTTTTTTTTTAGTGTGTGATTTTGTGACAGGCAGAGGAGACAGAGACAGAGATAGTGAGAAGGGAGATAAGAGGCGAGATAAGAGGTAAAGGGTGGCAGGTTGAGGAGTAGTCAGGCTGTTCACACTGGCAAAATGGATCCCAGAATAATGTGAGAGGTGCTGGACTCAAAACTATCCTGTATCCCTACGTGTCAACAAGCAAGGAAAGATTTGAAATAAAGAAAAGGGTTTACATGTACAGGGGAAAGGACAAGGGTTTGTCAAATAGACAGTACTTTGAAAAGCAGTAATTCTCTGCCATGGATGTGCCCCCAATATTCTAATATATCCAATATAATACCAAAAGGAGACCTGTGCATGTGCACAATCAGAATAAGTCCTGTCAAAGTGGTCTGCAGACAAAAAGTTTCATTGCAGTCGTTTTGGCGGCTGTTTCTGGGAAGGCCTGCAGTGCAATAGCAGGCCATTATCTTTTCCCTTGTATGGGAGCTGACATTCACAAGTGGATGAGTTGGTATCTTCAAAGTAATGAGGTCAAATACTTCACATTCAATAACAGTTCACTAGTTTATTCTTAAAAAAAAAAAATGTAATATGTATTTTTTGGCAAATGTCAGAAGACGGTCCAATTATGACACACTAAAGAGAATAGTTATTTGATTTTAGCTTCTTTATTATGATAATTGTTGATACACTCAAAAGCCTCTACTCTGTTCGCTGATCAAAAGGTGATTGTGTTGCCTTAATATTTTCATCATAATTTTGAATGTAGTGTTTGAATGAGAACTGATATTAAAGAAAACAGAATATTATCTACTGCAGGTAAAAGAAACAAAGAGACATTTTGTCAACTGTCAATCAGTTTTATTCTGTGTAACAGAACCTCTCTAACACATGTAAAGGGACCTGGTTGGTAAAATGACTAGGAGAGAAAGGTGGCAACCAATACCTTAACAAGATGAGTGTTTCATCAAACGAACAGAGGCTAAAACACTAAACAGCTAACAACAGAACAGAAGAGATGAGAAATTATGCACTCGATTTCTTTTAAGAATGTGTTGCATCCTAAAAACCTGTTAACAGACCAGAGCCGAGACTTTCATAACAAGGCAGAGCAGAAAAGGTATTGTCCATTTCCACTATGTAACTATTGCTTTGCTGAATTTAAAGGTCAACTACGGCCGATGTAAGCTGCAGTCCATTGAACAGAGCCTGTGTTCCGCCTGACATTCCCAAGCTGAGCTCCATATGGAACAACTGAATGGCACAATTCAAAGGTCTGCTTTTAGTTTTGCCCCGTAATTTACCTCATGAAGTTAAGGATAAATGTGTATACCTTGTGTAATGATGCTTGTAGAAAGTCCTTTTTTATGAACAAATTTCACTCTGTCTTCTTATTTTTACAGTTAAACTCTGGGGAGTTTTATGATCCCCCTACAAATAAATTGATGGCTGACCAACATGCAGCTGTCTCAGGTGTCACACGTGATAGTTCCAGATGCAGTGACATTTTTAGGGATACACGATACATGTCGGGCTGATAACTTATGAGCACATAATAGGAAATTTACATTATTATTCATTGTTCCAATGATAACATTTTTGCCAATAAATAGAACTGATAATACAAAGCGAAACTGCTTTGACTTAACTGATGCAACATCTACACTGCCAATACAAGACAAGAAGAAGAGCAAAGGCATGGAATCTGCCTTCCCGGAAAATGGTGAGTTCAGCGTCTACCAATCTAACTGTCGTCTGGCTCGAAGTAACACAGCAGCAGCAACTAACAGCCAGCACAGAGCTGTTAAACGGTCCCCATGAACACCACTGACACCGAAACGGCTTGACTCTGTTGTTAAACCCGATAATAACTAGTAGGTAACATTGGCTGTGTAATAAACCTGTTAATAACCACAATGTAATGTTAGTTGTTTGATGCTAACAGTTAGCCCTGCTTGCAGCTCTACAATAAAATCAGACCTACCTTTTTTTATAAGTAGAAAACAAAATAAGAAAATTTGTTGAAATTGTGGCAGGTTGTCACAAATTAATCAATGTATGGAAAACACAAAGCCTTTATTTTAACAAGATCCCCGCCATTGACAAGATTTTCCATCATTTATGACAGAACGCTTCCCCGCCATTGACGAGATATTCCGTCAATCCGTATTTTCACTGGCATAAGATGGGGGGCGCTGTCACAGATCTTGAGGAACAGAACAACACTGCTGAGTCCAAAAAAACAAAAAAAAAAAACTAAGAAGAGGATCCTCTGGAAACTGGAAGAAAATGTTGTTTATAAAGATACAGCAGCTTGTAAACCATACAAAAATGCTGGCAGCGACGGAAAAGTTTATGGTTGCGCAAGCCACGGAGATGTTAGATTGACAGACTCTTACAGTTCCTGTTTTGATCAACATTCTGAATCCGATTTTGACAGAGACGCAAATGAGATTGGTTGGATGAAACAGGATCATCATGATGGTGACACTGACACAAAGACAAGACGACCACAGAGAAGAGGGAGACAACAGAACACTGAACATGACGATGCACTCCACTATACCTCAAACAGAATATTATTTTCCTTATTTTTTTATTTATACAATTCAAACTGACATAAGGAAATGAGGAAAAAAGCAAAAAATGTTCATGTGAAATTGATTTTTTTTTTTACTTGGAAATGACATTTTTTGAAAAAAATGCAACTTTTTGTCCGAAATTTTTTTTTTTTAATGAAAATGCACAAATTCAAGTGTTGATAAAAAGAATGGAATAAGATAGAATAAAATGTTTTTTTATGTTTAAAAACAGAAGGTCTAGTGTTTCGTTTCATGTTTATACTGTTTACATATTCATAAAAGCAAATTATTCTGCGGGTCTTGAAAGATTAGTGATTATGCTCAAAAATGCTGCCGGTGGCTGGCAACTGAGAAATAAAACTCTAGCGGGGAAAGTGTTAATATTGAGTGATGCACTCACTTCATTTACTTGTATATAATACGTCCACATGTCTGATTTGACAGATTATATCAAAGCATATAATTTGAAACCTTAGGCAAAACACCAAGGCATAGCTTTTTTGATGAAAAATAAAAACATTTGAAGAGTCAGAACTGTTTTTTGTTTTTGTTGTGCTAACAGTAGTGATGTCAGTTAGATTAGGTTAGGTCTGACCCATGGAATATTAAATTATCCCCTTTTTATCACTTCATCTTAGCCTTTCTTACCCTCAGGTGTGCATGCACTACAAGTTATAAGCTCGCTTTTAAAATACAACAATGTGAAATTTTGGTTATTGTATTGGTATCTGCCATGAAAACTAGTTAGTTATCGGCTATCAGTATCCACTGGAAAACATCCATATTGTGCATCTCTAGTTAAATTAAGTATTTAAAAAAAAAAAAAAGTACATTTTTGGTCATCTCGATCTAGTGAATGTATGATATGGTATCCGAAGCAGTGTAAAAATGGACAGTAGTATAGCTCTATGATCGTTTGTGTAAAGGCAAACGTGAATTTAAATTTAGATACTGCATTCTGTATAGGTAAGGTAACTTAAGGAGCTGGAAGCTTGTTTGGGTCTGCACAGAGGCCCCCAGTAGCAAATAAGCTGATGCTAACATGTTACAGGTGACTGAAATATAAAGTTGAATTTCATTGCTACTCAAGACGGCCATATACTGTATGCAACTTAAATAATTCACAGCAACAGGAGCTGTGCAAAGGCCCACATGGACTGAACTTGAATAGAAAAAGCCATCTGTTTATGTAAAAGTTGGGAGATAGTAGTTAATCCTGATTTTTTTTTTTTATTTATTTTTTTTTTTATAGATAACTAGTCTGCACAAAATATCGAAGATGTAGGATTGAACCATTAGACATCAGACATCCAGTTCACTACATCCATCTTGTCAATTTGCAGATCAGAGCTAATTTTAGGAAGGCACTGTGAGCATGAAACATACTAGACAAATACCCAACAACTTCCTGTTTGAGTTTTTATTAAATACTATAGGTCAATTTGATCTTCACTGAGCTGGACATGACATTAAAATGTACTATCTTTCAAGTAAGGCACTTTCAGACAGTTTATAAAGAACACGTAATGACACATACAAGATAGAGGAAAGCCCAGCTCTAAGCTGAAGCTAATTAAAATTAGAGGGTCAGATGTTTGCTGCTGCTATTTACTAAACGTAACCCTTTGGCAATTAAAGCTTCCTGCCAACATTAGAGATTTTGACGCCCCGTGAAGTGAAATTCAGACACAAGTTCATGACATTTGGCTCATAAATATGGGTGGGAGTTTTGGAATATGAAGGGTGAAGGCGTGCATCACATTGCTGACAGTGCTAGCCAACGGCAGGACTCTCTGTAGTTGAGTTGGTGACAACAAACACACAAAAATGATGAAATACTGTTTAAAATCAGGCCTCAACACTCTGCTCACTTAAACATATTGGGAATGTTGCCTGTTGATGTAGAAACTCAGCATCTAATCTGTGGTAGATAAGCACTCTGCTCTTTGAATGCATGTTGTCTCAGAAATGAGCTAATAACAGACGTTCAAAATTCAGGTCTAACTGACTCAAAATGCAGATGAAACATTCAACAGACATCACACACATGCACATGGCCTCATTTTGCTGCTTAAATTATGATGTGACATAGATGTGCTAGATGTGCATGGCATAAATTAACATTATGCATCTTGAAGACTCAGTTCATGAACAAAATGTATTAGATTCTGTTAGATCTCCTTCCAGTATTGCTTTGGATCTTCCTGACTGGCAACAGCAGGACCTTGTTCATCAGCTCTCTTGCAACTCTCTCTCTGGACCTCTTCTTTGAGGTCATCTGACTCCCTGACCTGCAGTGTTGCCCTAGCTGCGTTTCTGCCCTGTCAGCTGTTGCTGCCATGGAGTTTGACTGAACATGACTATCATAATAAACTGTGACTGTGAAGAGTTTCCTCGGCACTCTCCTCAACCCTCTCTTCAATAATGTTCTGGATGTTTTCTACCTCTTCCAGCATTTGAATCAACTTGCAGCCATCATCATAGCTATGAGATCCAGATTGCTCTACTTCTACAACATTCTACATCCCAACTGGTTGCCCTTCATCCATCCAGTTACAGCTGGCTATTGTTCTTTTACCCAAACCAACCCCCTTTTTCACTAGCAGTTCACTATGGAGTTACGGCTGAATGATTATGGCCAAAGTCATCAGAATTATTTTGATCAATACTGAGATCATGATTATTTATTGTTTTTAGGGACAAAATATATTTATTGCACTTTCACATGGAAATAAGCAGAGCACTGATGTCACTTCCATGTTGTGCTAAATTCCTGCTAATGTAGTAATATTTGCATCAAAATAACACTCCGCTGCTGTATGATTTTTTACAGTGGTCATGGTGTTGTGATGTGCTGCATGGTTGCTCTCATGGATGTCTGAGTTGATGCTGGACAAGGACGGGAATTCAATGAGGTAACGTTAGCGATACTATTCTTATTGGCCTTCATGCAGTCATTGTCCTGCAGTTGAGATTTTTTCAGGTAATTTAACATATCAGTTGTGTTGCTTTGTGGCACAGACACAGTGCACTCTTTGCATATGATTTGTCCTATCTATCTATCTATCTATCTATCTATCTAGTATAAGACAAATACACCTAGCTCGTAGGGACGAAGTGATTTTTTTTTTTTTCCATTTTATTTTAAATTTTCCTCTCACATTGTAATTTCTACTGCTTACAATTAATAACCAAATGGGAGCAGAGCAGGTAGGTTGACTATATGGGGGCTGGAATGAGCTGCAATCAAGCCTCTCTGTCCCTCAGCCTTTGCTGGAAGCAGAAGTGGTGCTATTTCTTTACTTATGGTGTGTATCCTGTGCCACTGCACACTTCTGCAGTGTGTGATGTCCTGCTATGGTCTTGTTTTCCTGTCTAGTCTCCTGTTTACCTAGCGGGAGTTGGGGAAATCTTCTTTCCAAGTTTTCAGACAACCCTCTCACTGACTGATGCACTGTGAGGGGTGTGTCATCTGTCAGGGTTTAGGGGGAGGGATTCTGCATTCTCTCAGTTGTCTGCTCAGCTTTAGAGTTAAGTATGCGGTCACCTCTGCCGGGACCTTCTTTTCCTACCCCTTATGCTTCCCCCTTATGCTCTGTATTCAATATACACCGTAGCTTAAAAAAAAAGTCAGACTATAATCACTGCTCTGATAAATCAAGATGAGTTGAACAGAATAATTTAGCTTGTTTATCATAAGGTGTTTCAACTTATCTACTGGAGGTGTAAGCACAGGAACATTAGGTCAGCCTATAGATCCTGAAGATGAGGACCGAAGGTTTGCTAGCTAGGCAGTGAGAAATAAACAGCAGCAAAAAGGGGCTGGTTGGCAAAAAATATTTGGATCAATTTTAGATTAAACACAAAACTCAAAAGCTGATGGAGTAAAAAACATTGATAATGTAATCTGTGCATAAAACTGATTTACATAGAAAAAAAATCTCATTGGTTGGTTATTTGGTTATTTTTATAAGGTTTGCATAGAAAATGCTTTTGACAGATTAGTAACCTCAAACATTTGTGTGACTTGTAA